TTAATCAATTCTTTCTGATAAACCAATTTACCATTATAATTTATTTTATCTATATTCCTCTGTTTCTTTCTTCATTTCTTCCTTGCTTTCAGATTTATTCTGTTCCAAAAGTTGCTTCATTTCCTCCCTAAACTGTGACACAGCACTTACCATTATTTCTTTAATGTCTTGTGCTGATGTGCCAGATGGGGGAGGTGAGGGTGGAGTAGTTTTAGATTGCTGCACTGAGGGTATTATTTTAAGTTGTTGTTGCACAGTAGAGGTAGCAGGAGAAGAAGTTAACTTAGGAGCTGTAGCAGCTGGTTGTCGTTTTGAAGCCATTTCAATTTATCTTTCTTTCTTCATAAAAATACCAATAAAAAGTAAATAGTCCAAAAGTTAAAAATAAGGTAAAATAGGATAAAATGGAATCAATTTAAAAGCTCCCAAAAGATAAAGAAAAACTTAAAAAGGAAAGCAGTATTAAACAACAGTTCAGCCAGTCCGTCTTTCAAAAGAAAAAAAAAAAACTTTCAAAACGCCATTTTACTTTCACTCTCACTTTTCCGCCCGGAAAAAAAAAGAGAAAGCTCAAAAAATAAGAAAAAATCAACACATGCTAAATGAACTAAATAAACTAAAAAAAGATAAAATATAACTAAACTATAAATAAAATCCTTTGAACAGTTCTGTCCGGTTTAAGATTACTCATGGTTACTTTAAATACGGAGATGTTAGCGGCGTTTCGCTTTGTTTCCAAAGAAACAAAGACAGCTGAGAGGCGGAGAAGGCAATGAACTCCGAGGGAGCACTCTTTCTACCCCCCTAAAATAAAAATCCAGGGAGGGTTAAGAGGTTCTACCTCTATTCATGCGATCTCTACCCCTTCCCTTCGCCCGGGAAGGGGATTGCGAGCCGCGGGCCAGCTGATGAACGCTGTGCTCCGCGGATCTGACACCGTCTCAGGAGGACGGCTACAAAGTAGCCGCCATCTCCACCGCTTTAACCACCGGAAGTCCATAAATCGGTAATTTTGATGGGTGACTGGAATGGGGTTTTAGACCCAACTATAGACAAAAGAAGTTCCTCTAAAACTTTTATTCAAACTAAACTACCTATGACTTTCTTTGATTTGAAGGAAGAACTGGAGCTTATTGATATTTGGCGAGAAAGGAATACAAGTGATAGAGACTTTACCTTTTATTCTGATAGACACCAGTCATTTTCAAGGATTGATTTTTTTTTTGATTACTAGTGACTTCCTCCCTAGAGTGAGGAAGGTGAAAATTTTTCCTAGAACATTGTCAGATCATAGTCCCGTGTGGATGGAGTTATATTCGGAAGACGGGAATAGAAGATCCTGGAGATTGAATGAGAACTTATTTAATCGGGAGGAGTTCATACAAAAGTGTAAAGAACATTTAAAGGACTTTTTTACTATAAATATGAATAAGGGAACATCGATGTCTATGGTGTGGGACGCTAGTAAAGCATATATGAGGGGAATTTTGATTCAATTGAATAAAGTTTTTAGGGAAAAAGGGTCACAAAGACGTAGAGAAATAGAAGAAGAGATCAAATCAAAGAACAAGAGTTGGTTCTTAACCCTACTGATAATAATTTAAAGGTATCTATAAAGATGCTTAAGGAACAATTTAACATGTTGATGGCAGATCAGGTGGCTACCAATCTGTCGTACATGAGACATAATACTTTTTGCAATGCGAATAAGCCTGGGAGGTGGTTGGCTTATCAGTTACGAAAGAAACAGAAAGCTAGAATTATAGAGAAAGTAAAATATAAAGGTACTGAGGTTTTTCAGCAAGATTTGATTAGAAAAAGCTTTTTGGACTTTTACACAAAATTATATTCAAGTGATAATATAAGGGGTTTGGATATAGATAAATATTTACAATCAGTACATTTTCCTAGACTTTCAGAGGAACAACAAAATGGGATGAATAGTTCAATTACTGTGGAGGAAATTGGTTTAGCTATTAAGCAGTTAAAGGTTGGAAAGTCTCCTGGAACAGATGGATTGACTTCTAGGTATTATAAGATCTTATCTGAAGAAATGATAGAGCCATTAAAGGAACTCTTTAATAGTATTTTGTTGGGTATGCAAGTTCCTCCTTCTTGGAAAAGAGCCTTTATATCACTGATTCCGAAGGAAGATCAGGATCTTACAGAGCCTAAGAATTATAGGCCAATTTCATTATTGAATGTTGATTATAAGATCTTTACAAAAATTTTGGCAAATAGATTAATGCAGGTTATGAAAGACTTGATTCATAGTGATCAAGCAGGATTTATAACAGGGAGATATATGAAACATAATGTTAGACAAATTATTAACTTAATTGAGTACTTGGATAAGAATAATCAGATTCCTGTGGCTTTTATCTTTTTGGACGCTGAAAAAGCTTTTGATCAATTGGACTGGCAATTTTTATTTTCTTTGGTAGAGAAAATGAATTTTGGGGACAATTTTTTACATGCACTTAAAGCTATATATCAGCAGCAATCTGCACAAATTGTTGTAAATGGGGGATTGACTGAGAATTTTAATATTCAAAAAGGGACAAGACAAGGATGTCCATTATCCCCATTGTTATTTGTTTTAACATTGGAAATTTTATTGATTCAGATTCGGGAATCGAAGTTAATCAAGGGTGTAAAGATAAGGAAGAATGAGTATAAATTGCGGGCATTTGCAGATGATTTGGTTTTAATTTTGGAACAGCCGAATCAGGCGATTGATGGTTTATTAGAACTTATAACACAGTATGGGAATGTTTCTGGTTTTAAAGTTAATAATTATAAGACTAAGATATTATCTAAGAATATGTCAGTTAAAGAAAGGGAAAGTTTGATTAAAGCCACAGGTTTTCAGATGGTAAAAAAGGTTAAATACTTGGGAGTATATCTAACTGCTTCAAATGGAAAATTGTATAAGAACAACTACGAACCACTATGGGCAAAAGTCCAAAAGGATTTAAGAGATTGGAAAAAATTGCAATTGTCATTGTTGGGGAGAATTTCAGCTGTAAAAATGAATGTTCTACCAAAGTTTCTTTTTTTGTTTCAGATGATACCTATTCTTAAAAAAGAGGCAAATTTGGAGGAATGGCAAAAGGGTATCAATAATTTTATATGGGCCGGGAAGAAACCAAGGGTTAAATTTAAGATATTACAGGATGCTCGAGAAAGAGGGGGACTTAAGGCACCTAATTTGAAATTATATTATGATGCAGCCGCCCTAACTTGGTTAAGTGATTGGCTTAACTTAACAAATATGGATATTCTCTTTTTGGAAGGTTGGGATTTAATATACGGTTGGCATGCATATTTAATTTTTAATAAGAAAGTTGATCGGACTTTTAAATCACATATTTTGAGGAATGCCTTACTTCGTGTTTGGAAGAAGTATTATTATAGATTAAATTATAAAATACCTATCTGGGGGATTCCCAGACATGCAATTGAGGGAACCTCTAAGGGGACAAATTTTGATAAAATTTCATACAAAGAATTGTTAATTTGTTCTGGTTCGAATTGGCATTTGAAATCCCTAGATGTATTAAGGCAGCAAAATATTCTACAGTCATGGTTTCAATATTTACAAATAATGGATAGATGGACTGTAGACAAGAAAGAGGGAATAACACTAGAAGATAGACAATTGGTTATTCAGATTAAAAACCAAGGTCCGGCTCATATAAAAAGAATATATAATGTTTTATTAGAGTTAGATTCGGAAACAGAATTGGTTAAAGATTGTATGATTAAATGGGCTCAGAATATACAGGAGCCGATCTCATTGGATTTATGGGAGATAATTTGGATAAGAAATGTTAAATTTACACAAGCTCAAAATTTGAGAGAAAATTTTTATAAAATGTTTTATAGATGGCATTTAGATCCTAAAAAATTATCTTGTATGTATTCCAACATACAGCCCAAATGTTGGAGATGTGGCAATAATGATGCGACATACTTTCATATTTGGTGGAATTGTAAAAAAGTAAAGGCTTTTTGGATTATGATTTGGTGGAACATTCAAAAGATTTTTAGAAAAAAGATAAAGTTTACTCCTCAACTATTTTTACTTGGTATTTTTGTTGACTTAAATGAAAAAGAAACTACTTTGATGTTGAATTTATTAACTGCAGCAAGGTTACTAGTAGGTTTATATTGGAAGAAAGATTCTTTGCCTACTTTAGAAGAATGGATATTTAAAGTATCTAGTTTTGCAGAAATGGCAAAAATTTCTGCTTATTTAAAGGATCATACACAAGAAAGATATATTACTGTATGGGGAAGGTGGATAGATTATATTCAGAAAAAGTATGGAATTAAAAAGTTTTATTTATTTTATGAATGAATATCAAATATTATAGAGAATTGTTTTATAGGTTATGGAGTTAAAGGTTAATTATGATTTTTTTTTTCTTTCTCTCTTTTTTTCTTTTTTCTTAATTATTATAATTTTCTTTTTTTTTTCTAACCCTGTATTCTGCTCTGGGAAGTGAAGGGAGGGGGGGTGGGGGTGGGAGGGAGGGTAAGGGGGGGTTTCTATTCTAAAACTTTATTATATTTTTATAAATGATTGTATGTTTTAAAAAAATAAAAATTTTCAATGAAAAAAAAAACATACAGAAAAACAAATGCTTTAGCACACAATCTTATTAGTCTTGGGGGAGGGACCCAAAGACATATGCAAAAGCACCTTTTTACTTCTATGACCACAGTTGGCAAATGATTTAAAATAACTCAAAAGCTGTGTTCTGCAGTTTTTCCCTGACTTCTAAGCCTGCAAAATTGATCCAAAGCCTGTTTTTTTAAATTCAACTATTTGCCTTGTAACTTTGTTTTTTCTACTGTAAACCACAGAGAAGGAACTCTTTCAGTTAGTAGTTAAAACATCTACTCTTTGCAAGTCCTTTCCGATGCTATTAAAAGCAGGTATGATGGAATGTGGTGTCATTAGATAATCCTTCTCATTCTTTCCCTTCTTGCAGGTCTCCGGATTTCCCATTCACTTGCCATTTTCAGATGTTGCATCTATAGTTGAGGCTGCATATAGTACTGGAGTTTATAAAACTGAAATTCCAAACACAGAGTTTGCGCTAGCCGTGTATGTTCATGCTTACCCCAAACACATTCTTTCAGTGTGGATTTATGTGGCTTCATTAGTTTGTAATCGTTAGGGCTCTACAGAAAAATATTGACTTCCATCATTTCCACAGATTCCAATAGTCACTGCTGTTCAAGGAATTTTCCACCTGAGCCCACAATAAAGTTTTGTGTACAGAAACATCTTTGTGGTGGCGTCCCAGGAGTTTTGGTGCCAAAGACCAAGGGCTGCTAACACTATCAAGGAGAGTGGCAAGAATGAACAACCAGGCGTTCAAAGCCATTGATCTTGTGTGTGCTTAGTCAACCATGCCTTTCTGTATTTACTGCCACATCAAAGTAGGAACACCCTCGTCCCAGAAGATTTCAGTACTTTTGCCTTCAAATCATAGATGACTCATTAAACACAACACCCAGAGTGTGTGGTGGTTAAAAGGAAAGGTAACTCTTGACCCAATGTCAGCCATGGAAACTTCATGACTAAGGGCAAGATGGTCTCCCCAGCCCAGCTTACCTTATTGGATAGTGGCTATAGGTATAGAGCAGTGGTTCTCAACCTTTTTAATACCGCGACCCCCCACCGGTCGTAAGTTGAGGACTACCCAACCGGTTGTAAGTTGAGGACTACCCAACCGGTTGTAAGTCGAGGACTTTCCCTGCTCGGGAGTGCCGCACATGTGTGGTGCTGCCCCGTGCCGGCTGAGGCATAGCTGGCAAGCGGCAGAGACGGAGCAGGCCGACCACCGGCTGGGCCACCAGCTGGCCCAGCCCAAGGGAGGTAAGGCACCTGCCGGGCCCCACGCGCGCCAGCAACCCTCCCTGAGCCCGCCGGCCTCTCACCTCCCACCCCTGGCCCTCTTTTACTTACATTTTTAGTAGTTGCTCAGCAGGGAGGGGTGGAAGCTTCCAGACAGCTCACCTTCGCTGCAGAAAACTTGCAGCACCGTTTGCAGAATGGGACTTTTGGCGGGGTCAGCAGGGCAGAGACAGCCTGGACAATTCCTATTGGCTTTTGAAAGCCAATAGAATTAGACTCTATTCAAGAGAGTCTATTCTATTGGCTTTCAAAAGCCAATAGAATAAAAGGGAGTAGCACAGCTAAGGAAAAAGGGGGAAAAATGGTGGACTGTGTTGTTTGGTGACCCCCGTGAAATGGTCGTTCGACCCCAAATGGGGTCGCGACCCACAGGTTGAGAACCGCTGGTATAGAGGTCACCTGGAACTTCTAAAGAAAAAGCAGTGCAGAATTCTGAATAATTTAGTTTGGTAAATGTGAAGCAGATTATTACAGAATACAGAATAGAGTGGGAAGGAACTTTGAAGATCTTCTAGTCCACCCCCTGCTCAAGCAGGAGACCCTATACCATTCTGGACAAATAACTGTCCAATCTCTTTTTCAAAACCCTCAATGATGGAGCAACCACAACCTCAGGAGACCACAAGGTTTCTTAAATTGCAGATGGAATAAGAATTGGTAAAATCAGTCCAGTTTTAATGCTGCTGAGGTGTATTAGATGCAGGATTTTTTTTTTTTTCATTTTATTTTCAGCTGGCATTATTGAAGTATAAAACACCCCATCCCCAATCAGAGTTAATTAGGTAAGATTCTGGTCAGAGTGTAGCAGAAATAATAACTCGGAAGCCTGGAGATTACTCTCCAAAAGAATGGACAGGGAGAAGAGTTACCAAGGGAAATAGGCATACTGTAGTTGATTCAGATCCACATTTAATCCAGTGGTTCAAGGCAGCATACCCATGTTTATCCTTTAATTTTCCCGATGTAAATTGCTTTATAGTTGTGTAAAACTTTCCATCCTAGGGCAGCAAGAAATTAAACCATTGCTCCCAGGTTTTTTTGATTCTTGCATCTGAATCCTGATAGTTTCTTAGAGATACCATTGTGTCCTCATGTAGGCAAGTAAACTCTCAAATTCTGAGCATCTGTGCAAAAAGTCCCCATTCATATTTAGTGGAGGAGAATCATGTGGGGGATTCTTACCAGGACAACCACTGAATTGAATGGATCTGGAAACGGAACAGCTTTGGAATAGAATTGCTGTCTGCACTGTCTTTTTACTTGTTGATGCAAAGTATGTATATATTTCTTGTGAGTTGTTTTTAAAGTTTCTGTAAGTGCTGTTTTTAAGATACAATGTAAATCAAGGTAACTTATTAACAAAATAAACATTAGCGTACAGTACATTTATTTTCCTCCAATTGTGACACAAAAATATGGCAAAAGTACTTTCAGAAAAGTTCTTTCAAATCCTTCTACCACCTCATTTGTTGGTGGCCAAATCTGAATTCTTTTTTTTTTTTTTAGGAAAGTCACAGCTCTCAGACTGCACGTGACATGAAACCAAGCACTGTATTTTTCAATACAGGTAGTCCTTGTTTAGTAACAATAGGGTTGCTAAATGAAGCGTTAAGTAATCACAAGACTGTGACTATGCTTTGCCACTCCTCCATCCTTTGGCATTCTCTTCCCAGTGCTGGGAAAATTAGGAAAAATGGAATTAAATGTTTTTTAATTAATTCATTATTTAATTATTGCAGAGGGAGGGATTACAAGAAAGTAAGTAGACAATGAAGAATATACAACAAAAGGAATGCAGTGCTACCAGCTGTTTCTGTAGCATGCTTGGGGCTGGAAGCCACAAACAACTGGTGTATTCCTTATATGCCTGCGTACTCTCTTGTAATCCCTTCCTCTTCAATCTTCCATTCTGCAGAGGGAGAGGGATCATGCACAGGACAATGAATATGACTGTAATGGTAATCATATGACTGAGGGACACTGCAAGAGTGGTAAATGTATACCATGGTATACCATGCTGCACAAGGGAGTCAGTTAGTGAGGTCTACTTGTAAGCACATGCCACCCAACACTAGTAACAAATTCTCTTCCACCTTTTTGTATCTTCCCAGCATGCAAATTGATACAAGAAAGTTTCTTAAAATTGCAGTTTATTTATTACAGTTGCTCTTATCACAGAGAAATTGCTTCTGGGAAAATCCCTTTCAAAATTCAACATCTTTAGTATGTCTATATAGAAGATGCAGGGGATCATGGTTGCAATGCAACTACAGTTAAGCAAATACTTTGAGACGCTCACAAGATGATGTGGCAATGACAGTCACTGGCCTATTGTTAAGATAACTTTATCAGATTAACAAACTCTGATACTGATGGGAATGTTTCATTTATTGTTCCTCAAGCCTAAAATGTGAAATCAGTACTAAAAGACAGAAGGAATCTCTCTAATTCATTAAGAACAACTCTGGGATCAGAAGGTTATGGGAAAAATAACTACTTAACAATATATATTGTTATTCAAATGTGTTTCACATTTACTGAAAGATTTCTATATAAGTATGTAAGTTTTTTTATGGACTTAGCACAAAGAGAGGGGGAAAAACACCCCAAATTTAAGTGCCAAATATTAGGATGAAAGTGTTCAAGTGATTTAATAATTTCTTTTCAAAGCACAAAAAAAATTCACTTCTCACCTTCCAAATCAGTATGGAACTACACAGGTTGCTTACAATTTTCTGAATTACGGAGCAAAAGAATCCACAAATCACACTCCAAAAAGAAACAGTCAAGAACAAGATGCAAACTGTAAGTAAAGTGCATGAGAGGAAGCCTGCGGAGCTAAACGAAGTAGACAAAAAGGGTAAGGAGTTGGATCATTCACCAGAGCGGCAGCAGGCTCGGAAACCACACTGCAAGTTCTGGCATCCGCTGGCAGTTTCAGCGTGAGGACCTGTGCAAAGACAGAACAAACGTGAATGGAAGAAAAAGGGACTGGATGCAGTCTAAGAAACTGTTCTACAGAAATATCTTTGTAATTTTCTCTCTAAGGGTTTCAAGCTACACTAGCAAACTCATTTGGAGTGAAAGAGGGCTATTGGTGAATGGGGAATCTCAGATTACAGGCAATACTGGAATACACAGATTCATCCAATGTAAGTATTTTACTCCACAAAAATTAAAGGGACATTATGAATGATCACTTTCTGATGAAACTTTGTTAAGGAAACTGGACTGCACATTAAAACACCATCAAAAGTTACTTACCTCCATTTGCTAGGACTTTTTCTTTATAAAAGCATGCAATCCAATACCTGTATTACCTGACATTATAAAAACCACAGGTGTGCCACTGAATTTCAGTCAAATTTCTCTTAATGAACAAGAACAAACAACCATGTTAATCCTAGCAATGTATAGATATTTCATCTGTTGTCACAATGTAGCTCCAATCTAACGTGGTCATACTAACGTACCCTTTCTGAGTCCTTACTGAAATTATCATCAGTGTCATATTGAAGAATTTAGTAAGATTTAAAATCCTAAGTTTTGCTATTGATTTTCCATATATATTTTGCCTATAATACAATGCTGAAAGAAGTAATTTCCATACAATCAAATTACCAGAGAAAGATTGTAATTGGGTTAGAATTACGACTTTTTTTTACAAGAAAACCCATGTTTAGTAATAGTCATTCTTTTTTCAACGTTTGCTTCTTTCCCTCAAACCAGTTCAACCAAACTTAGCAGAAAGCAACTAGGATGGAGGTGGGCTGGGAGGAAAATATATAATATATATATTTTCAATATATAAAGTCGGAATAATACAGTGGAATTAAGTTTCCTTAACTAACATTCATTCAATGTCAGTTGTTGCCAATACAAACATTAAAGGAGTAGCTGTGCTAGGATGTTAGGATAAAAACAGCATCATATAAAATTTAAAATTCCTTCAAATATCAGAAAAGCTGAAGTAATAAACCAATCCTAACATCACCATTATGGAATTTTAATTACTTTAAAAATCTAGATATTGTGTAGGGCAGTGATATTTGATTCAAATATTTTGGGAATGCTTTCCACCCTGCAACAAAGGACAGCTGGAGAACCAGCTTATGATTTGCTTCTCTTGTGAAATTTCAACTGAATCATTGCAAGCATCTAGTTCTCAAGGTTTATCATTTCTTTTTGTACAAGTCTTTTAAGACTAGACTCCCACTTTCTTCTCTCTGAGAAGCTTTCATAAATGTTATATGGGAAGTGTTTTTTAGAATTTTTATCTAAAAATTCAAGGCTAAGGGATGAATTTTTTAAAAAAGGAAGTTGGTCCTCTTCCATTTCCAATTATATAACCAAAAGGATGTAATCAAACATTACTCAGCTGCAACCAGAAAGTCAGCAGCAGTAGAAATATACTTCAGTATGATCTTGCATATTCCTCATAAAGCATTAGTATTTGTGCAGCTTAGCATTCTGATTGGACCAAACATTTAAGTCCTCAAAACATTTAAGTCCTTATTTCTTCAGTTTCCTGTTGTAAGCAGTTAACAGTAGATTCAAATTTCTATACTTCATAAAATGCTGCATATGAGCCGAGGTGGCGCAGCAGTTAGAGTGCAGTACTGCAGGCCACTTTAGCTGACTGTGTTCAGCAGGTCAGCGGTTCAAATCTCACCGGCTCAAGGTTGACTCAGCCTTCCATCCTTCCAAGGTAGGTAAAATGAGGACCCAGATTGTTGGGGGCAATGTATATATATATATATATATATTATATATATATATATATATATATATATATATATATATACATATATATATATATATATACACACACACACATACATATACATTGCTTACTGGTGTACACTGCTTAGAGAGTGCTTGCACTTAAAGCGGTATATAAGTCTCATAAATAAATAAATATTATGGAATTCCTCACTATGGAAAGAGAAAATGAAAGCAGCACAAGATGTCATTATTGAAACAAATGTAAGTATAACCATTGAGAAGCATTATATCATTTGGCAAATCTATTCTGAAACACTCTTGCAGGGCAACATTTCTCATTGTGAATTTCACTTTCATGAGGTGTAAGAAGTGGTCAGTCAGGAAATTGCTTAAGATACCAACACAACCATCATACAGGAGCATTTCTGCCAAGACCATTCCCGACATGGCTTTTGGTCTGTAAGTTCAGATACTGATTCAGGCTTAAGATGATTTCAACTCTGAGCAAGAATGCCATTTTTAAATATACTTTGCACTGAAAATAAAATTGATAGTTAGAATATTACCATTAAGATACCTGGTGCTAAATTAATTAATCTTTGAAAGCAATCAAAATTAAAATATTGAGACTTCAATAGAATAGAATAGAACAGAACAGAATAGAAATCAAATTTGGAAGGGTCCTTGGAGGTCTTCTAGTCCAGCTCCCCATTCAAGGAGGGGAACCTACACCATTCCGGACAAGTGACTGTCCAGTTTTTTCTTAAAAACTTCCAGTGATGGAGCGCCCACGATTTCTGAAGGCAAGCTGTTCCACTGGTTAATTGTCTTCACTGTTAGGAAATTTCTCCTTAATTCCAAGTTGCTTCTCTCTTTGATCAGTTTCCAACCATTGTTTCTTGTCCTGCCCTTTGGAGAATAATTTGACACCCTCTTCTTTGTGGCAGCCCCTCAAATACTGGAATACTGCTATCATGTCAGCCCTATTTCTTCTTTTCTTTAGACTAGCCATGCTGGCTCAGGAATTCTGGGTATTGAAGTCCACGAGTCACAAAAGAGCCAAGGTTGCCTACCCCTGGACTAACCAAACCCAAGACCTGCAGCCATTCTTCGTATGTTTTAGTCTCCAGGCCTTTGATCATCTTAGTTGTTTTTCTCTGAACTTTTTCCAAGGTCTCAACATCGTTTTGTAGTATGGTGACCAAAACTGGTTGCATTATTCCAGGTGTGGTCTTACTAGGGTTTTATAAAGCAGTACTAATACTTTGTGTGATCTTGATTCTATGCTTGTTTATACAACCCAGGATTGCATTAGCTTTTTTGGCTGCTGCTGCACATTGCTGGCTCATAGTCAAGTGATCGTCCACTTGGACTCCAAGGTCCCTTTCACAGTTGCTGTTTTTGAGCCAGGTCTCACCTAATCTGTACTTGTACCTTTGATTTTTCCTGCCTAAATGTAAAACTTTGCTTTTCTCCACATTGAAATTCATTTTGTTGGATAGGGCCCATTGTTCAAGTTTGTCAAGTTCTTTTTGGATCCTGTGTTAGTCTTCTGTTGGCTATTCCTGCCAGTTTGGTGTCATCTGCAAATTTGGTGAGTTCCCCTTCTATTCCCTCATCTAAATCATTGATGGAGATATTGAAGAGTACTGGGCCTAAGACGGAACTTTGTGGTACCCCACTGCTTACGTCTCTCCATGTGGATGTAGTATCATTGAGGACTACTTGTTGAGTATGATTTGTCAGCCAGCTACAGATCCATCTGGTGGTGATGTTGTCTATTCCACCTTTTTCTAGCTTACCAAGAAGTAGGTTGTGGTCTACTTTGTCAAATGCCTTACTGAAATCTAAGTATACTATGTCCACAGCGTTTTGCTGGTCTACTTATTTGGTCACTTTATCAAAGAATGAAATAAGATTGGCATGATCTTTTAACAAACCTGTGCTGGCTACCAGTTATAACTTTGTCATAAAAACTTCAAAACAGGATTACATGTTACTTCTAACCTTTATAAGCACATATGCCAGAATAAGAGCAAACACAAAACTAGAGATTCTTTTTTTATAAACTGATCATCAGCCATTTGACTGAAACTAAATTATTTAATACTCCTCACAACTATGCTTCCTTAAGAAAACAGCATTAATTTAAAATAAAATTTAAATATCTACCATTGGCAAGACAATTAATTTATCAAATGTTTGTACTGTATATTGGAGGTCTCCCACTTATATAAAGGAAATGATTTTGAAGTTTGAACAAATATTTTATTCAAAAGACATTACCGTTTATGTTGTCACAGTAGTAAAAGTGTTCATGATTTAGAGAAGGGCACACCGAGACCAAATCTTGCAGACCTGCACTGGTTACTGTCTGACAACCAGAGAGATTGAGATGTTCTAGATAAGGTAGCCCACCTCCTAGAGTCAACATCCTAGGAGTAGAAAACAAAAATTAAAATCATATCAAGAACTTTCCATCCATCCAAAATATGCAAACTGTTGACCACTCAAAGCAGTCTTTCCCAATTTACTCTGGCTGTCAGAAATTCAACTGAGGAATGCTGGGAGGAATATGCAATTGTGTTGCTAAACCATTGTACCCATAAATGGCAACAGTTCCTGGGAGGTCACAAATCATCTCCTAAAGCTAATGGTCTGCAGGAGGTAAAAGTGAAAAGGGGCAACAGATTTTGGAGTGAGGGTGGGTGGGAGCAGGAACAAAAGAGTTCCAAGCAGTAGTTACATTTTAAAGATTGAAACCTGCATACATGATTGGCCTCAAAACCTATCAAGAACAGTCGAATATTTGAGATCTATGTATAGTTTAGTATTATTTCACAAATAATAGCTAACAGAGGCTTTCAAATCCTAAAATAAATTGTTCTAACCATTCTCAGCTCAACAATTTAGAAACTGCTTTGGAAACATCTATATTCCATCTGATTTGCGGAACTTGCCATCTTTTATCTTTATTACAATAGTATGGTAAAACATCTCTACCAAAAGATGACCTTAACAGCAAAGAATTAATCCCATTTCTTCTAATTGGATTAAGAGCCTTCCTTTTTCTCGCTTCTGGTGCTTACAACTGCCTAATAAGAGAAATCCTGCCCCCAGCAAAAGCACACAAGAAACAAAAAAATAAATTCAATAGCAAAGTAAGAATTTATCCCTTTCAGCGGGAGAAAATCTTTGCCTCCATTTTTGTGATCTGAAAGTTACTCTATAACAGTGATGGCGAACCGTTTAGAGACCAAGTGCCCAAACTGCAACCCAAAACTCACTTATGCATCTTCGGGTGCTGGGTGGGTATGGGCCATTGGCTGGGTGTGGCCCATTGGGTGGGCATGGCTGCGGTGGTAATGGCAGATTGGGTGGGACTAAAAGGTTCAATCAATCAATTCCAACTTTGCAAGATCTTTTTTTTTCTTCTCCAGCACCATAGTTCAAAGGCCTCAATTCTTTGGCGCTCAGCCTTTCTTATGGTCCAACTTTCACAGCCATACATTGCAATTGGGAAAACCATGGCCTGGACTATACGTACTTTTGTTGGCAGGGTGATGTCTCTGCTTTTTAGTATTCTGTCTAGATTTGCCATAGCTTTCCTCCCCAGGAGCAAGCGTCTTTTAATTTCTTGGCTGCAGTCCCCATCTGAGGTGATCTTTGAGCCCAGAAAAATAAAATCTGTCACTACCTCCATTTCTTCCCCATCTATTTGCCAGGAATTGAGAGGGCCGGATGCCATGATTTTGGTTTTCTTAATGTTGAGTTTCAAGCCAACTTTTGCACTCTCCTTCCTCACCCGCATCAAGAGGCTCTTTAGTTCCTCTTCACTTTCTGCCATTTGCTAACTTAGGTATCACCAAATAAGTCATCATTAAAAAGGCTTTGCTACTAGGCATGGACCATGCAAAAGCATCATCTAAAACCTTAACTTCCTCTTGAACTTATCATCCTCATAATCCTGAACTGCTATTACTAGACTACCTTGTGTCTGTCTCCCTGCTCAGCAATTTTTCTCCAACATATTGCCATATCTGGTGTTCCTTAGATTTCCTACTGCCATTCTATTTATGGGGACTCATGCTTTTGTTGTAGGTTCACTTTTCCAGATTCTGTGCTGATTCTGTCAGAACTACCCAGTGAGTTTGCTCAGGATGTCAGAAGAGTTATTCTGTTATGCCCAATGCCTAATCTATCTAAACAGAAGCTGCCGAAGAGCTGTTGCAATGCCAAGTCCAATGGAAAGCTGAGCTCACTGCCAGCGCTGTTCACCCACAGCTCCTAAGTACCTGATAGGCTGGTAGTAAACAAGCACTCCTATTGACTGACAAAGGGCCCATTTCATAGGCTTCAATTATTTCTATGGCTATTTTTGTCCCTGCTTGGCAAATAATCACAGTAGCTGCAAAATTGAATGCATGTCCTTGTTTGGGTCTCCTTGTCTAACCACTCTCTCATTGAGATACTATAATAAAGCCTTTGGGGATCAGATATGGATTCGTATTCTGGATTCTCTCAATGGGGAAAAAACTGATATTACCTGTTCTGGATTCTCTCGATGGGGGGAAAAAAACTGATATTGCTATTGCTCAATTGAGTTGTATGAGAAATAGAAATACCAAAGAAAGGTCCAGTGACATGCATTTGTGCTCTGGCTTTTTCAAAACAGCTATACTGACTTGCAACACATTACTTACCTGAGACCATTATCTGTTATCTGATAACATCCTGACAAACTGAGGAACTGAAGAACTCGGGCTTTCTTTTGGTCCGATTTTGCACTCTTGAGGTGTGTCAAGTCTTTCCCCTCTATCTGCCTATTAGTCCATGGTGCGTGGTTAGGTAGCCCAGGGGATGGCGGAAGTGCCTGGAAAATTTTTAATGCTGACCCAGCACAACAAAAAGAGTGGCCACAGTAGGTCAGGGCCGCAGAAGCACAATGCTGCTGTTCCTGCCAACAGAAGCTAGTCCTTAATCCAAAAATGTCTTTATTGCAGCAGGATGCAGAACAAAGGAAAGAGGAGGCTGATTCTATCACACAATCTCCTTCCAGTTTTCTGTGCTTCCACTCTGCAGCATCTTCAATATCGGCCAAATCTTTGGCATCTAACATCCAGATATAGGCAGAGTTGAAATCCTCTGATCTGACTGGTACATTCCAATGGCTTTCGTTTCCTTCTTCCTTAATCACATTTTCATTTGTTATATAATGCAGGCCACAATCCTTTTTGCTGGACTCCAAGGCAATCTCTTTGTTTTTCCACACAGTTTTCCCTCTCCTGTTTCGAAAACTTTTCTGAGATCGTACTTCGTGGGAAGACAAAATCCCTAGAGCTTTAGAAATCTTTCTTACAGCCGTATCTGTTATTCTTTCACAACCTGAGAGATCAAGATGCTGGAGACTCTTGCAGCAACCAATCCAAGACCAACTGAAACAAATAATTGTGTGGAATTAACGTTGTAATATTTATGTATTTATTTGGACAGTTTATATGGTGGATACTGACAGCTAATCGTACATTAACAATCCATCCCCAAAGCAAATATTAAAAAACTATAACAATACAATATGCAATGAAAACGTTTATCCTTTAGAATGAACATTTTCACTCTTAAATGAAAATGTAGATATGTATACTAGGAAAAAAACATATCAAATAGGAATCCTACCATGACTGTTATTTTCTAAATGAGAATCTCTCTAAATCAGCAATAATTGTTTGACTAACTTGTTGGGAAAACGTGTTACTAAGCAGGACTCTGAAAGGGAGCTCTGCAAAAGTATTGGCATCAGCAAGACTGCCTGAATTTCTGCAGCCACATCTTCCAGAATGCTCAGTGTAGTTACTCTTCAAATTACCTCCAATGATATGCACACACAAACACTTCACTGGAGCTGCCATTAAAGTGAAGGTTCATCTTTGCACATACAACTGGGGAAGGCTTTGGAAGCAGCTGTACCAAGCTTTGCGGAGGCCATTTACCCTACTGCCAACATGCTTCCCAAAACTCTCCTTTTGTTAGGGGGGAACCTCATGTTTCTCTTGCCCTGTGTGAACTCCCAATTCCATCCTGCTACTTCCTCTCCAGTCAGGCCTTGGAAGCTTCTTTTGGAAGACAAGGCTCCATCACTCTGTCCCGCTCACTGCATGCCTCCATAGGATGCACCCTGGTCCAAGGCCTGTATCCCAGGCCAGCAGCAGGAGGAAGTTGGCAAATGTCAGCTGGGCAAGGTAGAGATAGAGGGAGGAGAAAGGCTAATGAGGAGAGTTGAAGCAAACACTGCAATCCTAAATGCAGGCCAGTTGCCAAGCACCCAAGTTTTGATCATATGGTTGTGAGGGTGCTGAAACAGTTGTACTGTAACTTCATGGATTGATTGCAACCACCATTCATTCAGCACCATCTAACTTCAAATATTCTAATGGTCGTTAAGCGAGGACTATCTGTAAGTGCTGGGAATGATAACATGTAACAAAGTAACCAATCTCTCACATATACAGATCACTATTTAAAATGAAAGCTACCAACCTTTCAAATGCAGAATCAGAAATATCAGTCTGAGTGAGATCAAGATATTCCATGTTAGGACAAAGTTCCAAGATGTGTCTGACCTATATTAAAAATAGTTTAAGAAGGCTGAATTATAAAAGGAATGCAGAAAATAGCAAAACATCTTTTCGACTTGTATTTCCTTTGTATATTATTAGTTCATCTTAAATGCCAACTATAAATAATAGGTGGCACACATTTTTAAAACACATTCAGGATACTTTCACACTCTAGAGAATCACTTATTGTATATACTGTACCATTTTATTAGATATGGCCGAACTGTATGCCAGTACAATAGTTTTCACTGATGAGCCTACACGTGGCAGAATGTTATGGATTATGCCTTGAAGTAAGTTTTTCTCTTTCTGAACAATGCTGATAGCCAAAGATTCTTCTCCATTTTCTTCTATTTAAAATAAAATAAGAAGAAACATTTTAAAGTAAAAGTGAATGGTCTAAACTACTGTATTGAGAAAAAAACCTTGAAGTTTATACTTAATTGCAGTTTATTCTGCACCTGGATCAATTTGTTGTGTTTTATTTGAACTAACCAAGTCATAGCTAAATGTTAGTATTAGTCAAAGTTCAGTATTCGTATTGTACTAAGCTAGCATGTTTCAATCAGTGATACATGTACTACTAATTGTATGCAGAGACAATCTCAATGGGACATGACTTTCCTGCCTGAAAAAAACAAACAGAATTTATATACATATATTATACATACTCAAGGTGATGAACCTATCTAATAGTTCTGCCTATTTTCCTAACAACAGCCCTGTAAGGTAGGTTGGGCTAAGAGAGAGTAACTGGTCCAAAATCATTCAGCTGGCTTTCATGCCTACAGGAGGACTAGAACTCATTATCTCCTGGTTTCTAGGCCAGCACCTTAGGCCAGGGGTCCCCAACCCCTGGGCCACAGCCCACTGAGCCATGGCCAATTCAGAACCAGACTGCACAAATGGTGGATGGTGCGCGCAGCTCCACTTGTGTGAATAGCAGATGCTCATGCATGAAGCTCCATTTGTACAAGTGGAGGGTGCCATTTGTGAGCGGTGGGCACATGCATGCACCTCTTGTGCAATGGAGCTGCGCACAGGCACACCTGCCACTCTCCCCCCTTCCCCCCGGCCAGGCCACCAAACCTGAAAAGTTGGGGCCCGCTGTCTTAGCCACTGTACCAAACTGGATTTCTAACACATAGCACAAACCCAAAATCAAACAATTCACATTATACTAAGCCTTAAAGTGTGAACCTGACCATGGTATCAAACTGCAGTTAAACAAAAATTTGCAAAACTTTTGTTTTTATTTGCAGAAAGGATGGTCATTATAGATCATTAGCATCATTGTAATCTAACCTTCTCTAATCCTTCCAGATACTGTATATTGAGGCTAAAATTTCCAGAATTTCAAACTGGTGTGAGTATGCAAATTCTGGGAACTGTTGATTTAACACAGGAAAAATTCAGGCTAGGAATAGCTGATCTAAAGTATGGTTTGCCAAGATAAATCTTACTTAATGTCAACCTCACCTAACTGTTGCTGGCATCAGCTTTTTGAAATGGACCAGGTAAGGAAATGTGGCAGAGCATGTAGCCATTCCAAAACAGACACCATACATAAGATCAATATTCCAGCTGGAATTCTCACCACTGGTCATTTTTGTGGAAGTGAACTATAAGGTTAAAGTACAATGCGCAATGTTCAAATCTTTGGGACAGACAAAACTGAAGAAGGCAGACAGCTCACCAGATTCATCTATATCAGCATCTTCATCCCATTCGTGAAAAGCCTGAGTTTCATCTTTCCTGTTTTTCACCCATTCTTCGTCTGGCTCCGTATCAAGATCACCTGGTGGGCCATGGGACCAATTTCCTGATTAGTCAATGAGAAATTTAATTCATTAAAGAAGCCTTGGCATTTTGTCTAGAACCAAGAGCAGATCACGGATGTGTAAAAGGGTCATAGAAGGCTAAAAATCTGCATACTGCTTTCTTATCTTTACAGGTTTTTCAAGTAATACATGCAAAATTGGAGTAGCGCAATATCTTTCCAGACTATAAAACTTTAGTGGCTGAATCATCCCCAAATAATTCCCAGACACAGTGCACACTCAACCCTTAAGTTGCTAGAAACAGATAAAGAGCTTCCTGTCTATCAGAAAATGTTAATATTTTTTAGGTTTGTTGTTAGAGATTAAAACAAAAGGGGTGGGGGATAAAGAATCTCAATAAAGTAGCAAATATCTACTTAGTTCAATAAAGATCCATATCATTTTCATATAATTAAAAAGGGAATAGACTGGGTTTTAAAACTCCTAAATTTATAAATGCTGTATTTCAAAAGCAGGGGTTTTGTCTAACTTAAGGTCATTCAACTCATATTGGCTTATAGTTTTCTACATGTATTACTGAAGATAATACAGTGATCTGTATAGGTCCAAGTCTAGAGAGTTTAGCAAATCCAAGTTTGACAATTACTAATTTTCACACTGTTAAACCCTAAATATTTAGATCAACTCATCATTATCATTTTAGCCATTGTCTATCCACTGCAGGATGAAGGCCTTTTCCTATTGTTTCCAACTAATATCATTCTGAGCTTTCTTTTGCCAATTGGGCCCACAATACTTGCTGATGTTGTCGATTCATCTTGCTTTAGGTTTCTTTTGTGGATGCTTTTTATCAAGTGGGATCCATTCTATGACTGCCTTTGTCTACCTGCCATCAGTTCTTCTTGCTCTGTGACCAGCCCATTTCCATTTCAATTCTTTTACTCGCTTGATGATATTGTATACTTTCCTTTGTTCTCTATTCCATGTGCAGGTCTTTCTACCTCGTCTTGTAATGCCGAGTATGTATCTTTCCATGGCTCTTTGGGCCACTTGTAACTTTTCTATCGATTGTGTGGTTAGTGTCCATGTTTTACCAGCATATCTTAGAGCAGGTAGCACACACTAATCAAAAACTTTTCTCTTCAGGCATAGGGGGAGGTTATTCTTAAAAAGTATGCTTAGCTTGCCGAAAGCCTGGCAACCACATTTAACACGCCATTCAATTTCCTTTGAAGAAATATTTCACAAACTAGATTGGGCAAAAAATGGAATAAAAATCAATGGCACCTATTTAAATCACTTAAGATTTGTAGATGATGTTGTTCTCTTCTCACAAGACCCAGAAGACCCATAAAGATACATACTAGAGCTGCACAAAATAGGAGAACCATTTGCCTTAAAAATAAATCTGAAAAAGAGCCAAGTTATGTTTAATAAATTCACCAAAGGAAAAAAAAAAATCTGGAGAAGAACTAGACCTAGTAGACCACTACATATACCTCAGCCAATGGATCTCAATGGAAGGTGATACAAGAAAAGAAATTGAATGACATATTAAATGTGGTTGGCAGACATTCGGCAAACTGAGCATAATTTAGATCAACTAGATAACATTAAACAATGAGATACACAAAGGAAATACAGGCAGTCCTCATTTAACAACTGCAGCGATGTGACATGGTCATTCTGTGCATCATCATGTGACCACATGATGCAGCTGCAACTATTAGGCAAATTCCTCAGTTATGAAGAGTGATGTGACCATGACTTGTGACTTCCTGCTGGCTTCTCTATTAACTTTGCTTGTTAGAAGCCAACTGTGATGATTGCAAATGTGATCCTGTGACTGTAGGACGCTGCAACTATGCAAAAAAGCACGCTGATGGCCAAGCACTCAAATCGCAATCACATGACTGTGTGTACACTGTGACGACTGTAAGCTCAAGGCAAATAAGTATAAATCTACTTTTTCAGCGCTATTGTACATTAATCAACTAGTTAATCTGTACAACATAATAATGCTTAGTCATAGAAGTTTTTTTAATCAAGTTTAAATAACTACAAATTACTAGGAATACTAATTAGGGCTGCTAAACAAAGGTTGAGCGTGCAGCCTCTTACCTCTAGCCCAATGCACAGGATAAAGGTGTTTCCAGAGAAATCCTGTTTTCGCTAACTGTGACCATTTAGTGCTGACTTGACTACATCGGCATAATTCTTGAGGGCTAAGGTAGCTAAAAATAGTCAGCATCACCTCAGAAGGTAGATGAACAATGCTGGTGGCTTGTCCTGGTTCTTCAGTTTCTGAAAAACAGAAGTCACTCTACAGACACAAATGCTTGAGAAGTTGGTCAATCTTAGCAGAATTCAGCTCTAAAGAGGTACTTCTAGAACTGTGGCAAAGAGAATGCTGTTGACAGGTGGGGGGAGAGATTTTTTTAAAAGGCTATTTTTGGAATTATACACCCAACTACTCATTCACAGCTACTTTCATTTTAAGGGCAGTAATGGAATTCAGCCAGTTCGCACCAGTTCAGTAGAACTGGTAGCTAAATTTTGTTGAGTTTGGAGAACCGGTTAAATGCACACCACTTCCGGAAATCTGTTCTAGGCCTCAGAGGCCCAGGCCTGCATCCATGCAGAGAAGCAGTTGTTCAGGGATTTGAATCCCACCACTGTTTAAGGGCTTACCATGATCTGCTTTTTCATCCACAGAATATTTAAAAACTTTCTGGAGTTCTTCTGCTTGATTCCACAGACTAATCCCTCTACGTATTTCTGCTGCAGTTTCCTTCTGTGAGCAGTGTTGTGCAATTACTTTCTTTTTTATGTCTTTCAGTTCTTCATAGGTAAAATATTCCATCAACATTGGCTGGAAAACCTAAGGGATAACTATGATCACTATTTGAACATCAGTTCTAACTTACATTATACACTACATTTTTTCCTTACATTTAGAAAGTTATGGGCTTTTGGTGAATACAAATATTCTTTACATTTTAAAAAAAAACAATGATGAATTCAGGAATCATGCTTGTTGCACAAAATCCAAATCTAATGATCAAAGCTGATTTCAAAGGAAAAAAAATTGACAAATAAACATGTAAAAATGGAAAAACTATACATATCAACATGAATAGTATCAAAATAGCAAAAAAATATTAAAAACAATAATATATCTCGAGAATTCAATTACATCTAAGTCTTTAAAAAAACTGCTAAAGTGCAAGTTTTAAAAAAATTATATACTTTATTTATACTACCATGACAAGCATACCACAAACACACAAACATGGAGAATGTAAGCAGGTATCACAGGGTACACAGTTTTGCAGATTTAGTATTTGTAGAGATATTAAAAATTTATTTAAAGTATGTTCTAATCTTTTTAAAAATATTAAATGTTACTCTTTTAAAAAAATAGTTCAGATCAACGCATTTCTTTTGAGCAGCATTTCAAAATATTTATTGTATACCACCCAGAGATGGACTTATGTGAGATGGATGGCTATATAAAATAATGAATAAACAATTTTCTAATGTTATCAGAACTCAACTACAGGTAGTCCTCAACTTAAATCATTCATTTAGTGACTGTTTAAAGTCACAATGACAATGAAAAAAGTGACTTATAACTGTTTTTCACATTTACAACCATTACAGCATCCCCATGATCAAAATTCAAATGCTTGGCAACTGGTTCATATTTATGATGGTTGCAGTATCCTGATCACCTCTTGCGACTTTCTGACAAGCAATGTCAATGGGGAAGCCAGATTCACTTTGCAATTACGTAACTAACTTAATGGCAGTGATTCACTTAACAACTGTGGCAAGAAAATGGGGCAAAAGTCATTTAACAACTGTCTTGTTTAGCAAGAGAAATTTTGGACTCAATTGTGTTGTAAGTCGAGGACTACCTGTAGTTAAATAAACATTGACCATTTTTAATCTTTTGAAGCCAAGTTTGGAAGCTATAGCAATTTTAAGGGGCAACACACAAATGAATAAATCAAATGTTTATCTACAGTTCTGTCCCAAAGATGTAAAGCAGTCCAATGAAAATGAGAAGTGTTGGCAAACACATATACCTGCCTTATTTAAACTCAATGGAACAGCACAACTATGTCATACTAGCAGTAGTCAGTAGAATACCCAGAGTAAGATGAGGAAAAGAAAAAGAAATAGATGCAAGCTTTTCTTTTGCTTAGCAAGGTCTGCTAGTAAAAATTCCAGTTCTGGACCGCAATACTGGAATGATTTAACCTTTATTATTAGAATATTTTTAAATCCTGCCAGTGTACAAGAAACAAACATCTGAGGGCAGCTTGGTCTTACAGAACTTCCATTTGTAATATGTGTTCTTAACAACTCTGAAATATATTTTGAGTCTAGTTTTTATATGAAGACTGTAAAATTTAATTAGCATTAAAGGCCCCCAAAAAAGAATTATCTTTTAATTTAATTAAAAGAATTTTAAAAATTGGATGTGCTTCATATTAATATTTCATAAATTGATGGAAGGTAATTCTATTTTGTTCCTATTTACAAGAGCAATATATCTGCTTATGTACACAAGTAGTTTAAGCTATCTCTGCTCTCACTGTGGAGGTTTTCCTTAATTCAAATGACCAATCCAATGACAAAGGAAAATTATTTCAAATGTCACAGAAGAGACTGAGAAGGAAACACAAGGAACCCGAAATATTTCACACTGTGAAATCCTATGGGGCTAAGGACAGGACTTGGGGATAAGTTTTCTGAAACCCCAGGATTTTTTCAGCTGAAGTTACTTTCTCAGTTTAGTGAGTGCATTCAAGAAAGGGCAGAAATCATGAAGCAGCATTTTTTTTAACATATAAATCTTTCTTTTTATAAAAAATAATGATGACTACACACTATTCACTCCAAATGTTAAAAATAAAGGAAACATTTCTCAAAACATTTAATCATTCCCTCAAACCACTCACCTCCTCTTCCTCTTTCATGTGAGGAAGGAAATCTCTGGTAAAAGCTTCCAATCGTTCCTTTAGCTGTTTCGCATAGTTGAGCTGCTCATATTCATTCTGAAAATTAGTTTTCAAATTCATCAAAGAACTATGTGCCACTTAAATTATAAATATGTATGATCTACTTATTAAATAATACTTTACATTTAAAGTATTAGATCATAAAACTTTTAAGACAAAAATAAATAGTGGAGTTGGATTTCAAATATTTAGTAATGCAATTTACTCCACGGCTTTTTCAATTCTAATTTTAATCTATCAGATATACAAAACTGGGAAGCACTGTGACGTTTGCTTTTTTTAAAATTATGTTTGCTATCAAAGTGAACACAAAAAAGGGGTTTTTTAACACATTTCTTGTGGCTTAACCAAATGAGCTAGGAACACATTCACCAAATTTAAAAATCAAAGGAAATTTTCAACATAACATTTTTGGATAAAAGTTATATATTAACTTATATGTTAACTATGTTCTCTTCTGAGTATATTACAGCAGAAAACAAACACTATGTTTCCTTCACAAAACTGTATCTATCAATGAAAATGATAGTCTCTGTTTTTATAATTAAGTATCCACATGCAATATTGATTGATACTGCTTTCTTAGGACTATTCTTCAATCGATTTTACTCATGCCAAAAATCAAACAAACTCACCTTTACATTTTTCAATCCTTTCTCAAAGAGGCTAAGCATCTCTGACAACTTATTGTCTGAATGTACATTATATACAGTTTGGCTACGTTGCTGAAGTAAACCAATGATGTATTCATTTTCAATCTGCTCGTGCATTTTAAACTCTTTAAATGTAGCATATAATGATTGGAGGAGAGCTCGGAAATCATTGTTGTTGGAGAAATTTGTCTTAGAAAGCTGAAAAAAATAGAGGGTTGCACATTAGACATTTGCGTTTTATTTGAATTAATTTTTAAGAAACTAATTCTAAGAAGGTATTCATTCGCCAACTATAAATTCCTAACTAAATTTCAACTTCTGCAGTTTTATCCAGCTCTGCTTAAAATTATTTTAGGTATTATTTTTAAATGTTAAAGGTATATGTTATATACTGAAAAAATCAGATTTAACGTCAATAACATTTACCTATAATTTTAATTCATATAAAGTACTTTATTTAACTCAAAGGTGCTTTTTCAAAAGGCAACTGGATTGTTTTTCCTTGAGGAGGAAGGAGGAAACATTCCACTTCTCATCCAAGAAGCTTCATCAGTTCTGATGGTGGGGGGATGGAAGGATAGCTTCTAATAGGATGGGGGGGGGGGAAGGACTGTATTTCTTTGCAGTCATCTGGTTGTTAGCACTCTGTCTGAGAGCTGTTGAGGCCATTTGGCACAGATAAACCCCCAAGTGGCCTCAACAGCTCTGAGAAGGAATGCTAACGACCAGACGACTGCTAAGAAAGACAATTCTTCCATTCCATCCCTCATCCTATCAAAACCTATTCTTCCATCTCCCCACGATCCAGTCTCAAATATCCGTACCTATATTCTATCCCACCATCAGAATTGATTCAGTTTCTTGGATGAGAAGTGAAACATTTTCTTCTTCCTCAAGGAAAAAACAGTCCAATTGCCTTTTGAAACAGCACCTTTGAGACAACTATGACCTGGATGACTGAGAATCTCCACAGACATTTACTTTATTTAACATTTTTCCATTCATGATAGCTAAAAAGCAGAACATTCAGGAAGCACTAAAAAATGAAGAAAAAAAATGAAAACAGTGTTTCATGGTCATAAACAAACATTCTAAAACATTTTTTTTCAGTCTAGATATTATGATTAAGTCTTCTCAACTAGGATTGCAGACTTTTAATTTGAAATACTTAATCTTTTATTTGAAAGTAATTATTCAATCCGTAATTATATGCCAGGGTCTTCAAACTTGGCCCTTTTGTGACTTGTGGACTTCAAGTTCCAGAATTGCTCAGCCAGCGTGCCTGGCTGAAGAATTCTGGAAGTTGAAGTCCACAAGTCATAAAAGGGCCAAGTTTGAAGACCCCTGGTATATGCTATAAGTATAATTTATGTATTCAGAATAAATTTTGAACATGAAAAAGGCATGTTATTCCCATGTATTCTGAGAACACACTTTTAGAGGTACCTGTTTATCAAGTTTACAATTATGCAGACATATTCAGAGTTCCATCATGAGCAACTGCAGTTTAATCAACTAGGTACCTTAATTTATAGAACTTTTAAAAACCAATAATTTTAAGTTTGTTTGAAGGAATATAGCTACTAGATTCACTCCAATCCACTGTAGTGTTGTCTGGTGACACTGGAGAAGTTTACATACATTTCACTATGGTAAACATTACACACCCATCCATTTGGCCAATTTTTTAGCTGGTATAATGGCACTCAGCTTGATGTATCATATTAAGTTGATGCTCCCAAAAATCCTAAGAATGCTGAAACAATGCAATTCCAAAGCAATTGTTTTAGATTAGCAGTATCTTGTCAACAATTCTACTACCAAAAACAATACAATCTTCCAAACTGAGTGTTTTATTTGCGCCCATATTTAGTCTAATACAGATGCTTGAAGAAAAGCAAAAGTTCAATTTCTTATTTAGCTTGAAGATCAATATTCTCCAACACTTCTTTCACTGGAAGTGTCAGTGAAATAAATCGGGTGTTTTACTTACTCCCACAAGTAAGCAGATAAACTGCTGCCCCAATTTTTCCAGAGGACTTGGCTACTTTAATATTTCAGGGAAGGTTGATAAGGTAAAATATTTGGGGGTCACATTATCTGCTTCCAATGCAAAACTGTATAAAAATAATTATGAAAAGCTGTGGATGGAGGTACAGAAGGATTTAAAAAATTGGAACAATCTACAGTTATCCCTTATGGGTAGAATTGCAGTTATCAAGATGAATGTCCTGCCAAAGTTTATTTTTTTGTTTCAAATGTTACCTATTTTAAAGAATGAACGTAATTTAGATGAATGGCAAAAAAGTATTAATAAATTTGTTTGGGCAGGGAAAAAACCAAGGGTGAAACTTAAAATAATGCAAGATTTTCGTGAGAGAGGTGGACTCAAGGTACCAAATATGAAATTGTATTATGATGCTGTAGTATTAACATTGATCAGCGACTGGGTGAATTTAACAAATATAGAAATACTTCATTTGGAAGGTTGGGACTTACTTTTTGGATGGCATGCCTATTTAATATTTAATAAAAAAGTGGACTGGGTTTTTAAGTCTCATATTATAAGAATCTCTTTGCTTAGAGTGTGGAGAAAGTATTATAAAAGTGACTTCAAAATACCATTATGGGCTATACCTCGGCATGCCATAGAAGGCATAAGGAAAGGGGTTAATATGGACATGGTCTCTTATGCACAGTTACTTAGATGGGATGGCCAAGATTGGCAGTTAAAATCTTTGGAAGAATTAACGCATGAAAATTTAACTTATTCATGGTTCCAATACAGACAAATAGTGGACAGATGGAAGATGGATTGTAAAATGGGCTGGCTCAGAGAAGATGAAGTTCTTTTAAAACAAGTAAGAGATCAAAGGCCAACCCATATTAAGAGAGTTTATGGGGTTTTAGTGGAATTGGACTCAGAACCTGAATTAGTTAAAGATTGTATGATTAAATGGGCACAGAATATTGGTGAAACGATTTCAATGGATACCTGGGAACTTATTTGGATAAGAAATGTTAAATTCACACAAGCGCAAAATTTAAGAGAGAATTTTTATAAGATGTTTTATAGATGGCACCTTGATCCAAAGAAAATGTCCATTATGTACCCTAATCTGCAGCCGAAATGCTGGAGATGTGGACATTTGGATGCTACTTATTATCATACTTGGTGGACGTGTAAGCATATAAAAGCTTTTTGGATTAAGATATGGTGGAATATCCAAAGAATTTTTAAACGGAGGGTAAAATTTACTCCGCAATTATTTTTATTAGGTATTGTTACTGATTGTGATGCTAAGGAGGTTATATTGATGTTAAATTTGATTACAGCCGCTAGGCTGTTAATAGGGCAATATTGGAAGAAGGAATCCTTGCCTACTTTGCAAGAGTGGTTTCACAAAGTTTCGTATCTGGCAGAAATGGCAAAGATTTCGGCTTTTTTAAAGGAGCAATCTCAAGAGAAATTCTTTGCAGTATGGGAAAAATGGATAAATTTCATACAATATAATTTGGATATGGAAAAATATCATTTAGCTTTTTTATAACTTGTAATGATTGTTTTTTCTTTTTTTCTTTCTTCCTTTTCTCTTTATGTATTATTACTATATATATATATATATATATTTTTTATATATATGTTCTATTTTTCGTCTACTTTTTTTTTTCTTTCTCTCTCTCTTTTCTTTTCCCTTTTTTTTCTCTCTTTCTTAGTATATATTATTCATTTTAAAGCTTATGTTATGCATATTATTATTACATATATTATTATATATATTATTATTATGACCTTTATTATTTTTATTAATTATCTTATAAATTGTAAACGTTATTTTTTAAAATTTGTTAAATAATCCTATATTCAGTTCTGGGAAGTCGGGGGGGGAGGGTGGGGTGGTTTGGGAGGGGGGGATGTTTATTTGTAAAATTTTTGAAAAATTTCAATAAAAAAAAAAAAAAATATTTCAGGGAAGGATGAGTTATCTACCCAACATGCTTTGTGAAATAGTCCTGTCAAATACCAAAGGTGCTTTTTCATGAGGCAAATGGACTTTTTTCCTCTTTGAAGACGTTTTGCTTCTCATCCAAGAAGCTTCTTCAGCTCTGAAAAACAACTGAATAAGCTTCTTTGATGAAATACAAAACGTCTTCAAAGAGGAAAAAAGAAAGTCTTGTTGCTTTGTGAAAAAGCTCCTTTGGGATAACCATAACTTGGATGACTGAGAATCTCCATAGACATTTAATCCTGTCAAATGTTTTACGAAGCCTAACAAATGGAACAAATCACCAAACCCTCATTTTTAGAACATGGACAGATCAAAAAATTAAATCGATGTACATATTGTTTTCTATTATTAGCAATTTTCATAGTTACATTGCAGAACAAAAAAAATAAGTTTTTTTCAGGTGATAGAAGTGACCTTAAGGCCTGGCACACACTATGCATCCACTTTCTACATTTGTGTTTTGATAATGGCGAGTTATATGCAACGCCATCAGCAATATCAATTTTATTTGGTGCTGAAACTGCTCATTCAAGTACTTCCACATGCCATTCTACCTGTACAAACTCTTTTAAACTAGAAATCAATTCAATAAACTTAAACAGGATTTAAGTGCACTGTTCAATAACATTCTTCTCTACAAAAACATGAAATTCTGAAAGCTGAGAACTTTTGCAATTATATTAGCTTAATATATATTTCTCCATCTTCATCAGGCTTTTCTCATTATAGATTTAATTTTATGACAAAGATGATTTTTGAGGCATACACTGCTGACCCCGATCCACACATACGATCAAGGTTCCTTGCATACATAGCACAAGACAATCTTAAGCAAACTAAGAGAGGTGTTTTTAGTAAGCCAGCTTCTTTTTTTATGGGTGGACAGGTCTAGAAAGGCATTGTGCAAGCCTGACCATGTCCCAGGATATGAGTCAGCAGAAAAGCAAAGCAGTTTACTGGATCCAGAAATACAGTGCCTTGAGTGGAAAACCTTATCTCTTTTTCAGGAATGGAGAAGAGGACAAAACTTAAAACATTAATTTCTCTTTGGGCAACCTCAAAGTGATACCCGACAGACAACGCTCCAAAGATCTCGGGTCCCCTTTTGCTTCGACAGAGCAGAGGAACTCTTCCTTGGATCAAAGGCACAAACAAGCAACTCAGATCCCAAATGTGTTTTTTCATGAGGCAGTTGGACTTCTTGCAGAGAAAGTACCTTTTGAGATAATTATGACCTGGATGACTGAAAATCTCCAAATGCAACTCAGATAATTCTCTTTCCTGAAGCATATTATATAGGTTTTGGTTTCTTTTTTAATCCTGCTTTGTCTACCAAAAGGAGCTAACCAGTCATTCCCTTCTCTCTCTCACCATACCTGAATATTTTTTCCTAAAAATTAAGTGATACTATTTTCAACCGCATTTTTAATTTTAAGCATACTTTGGTATTGCCACAGTAAACTAACTTAAGTTTCAATGACTCTTTCTGTAAGGATCTACTTCAGCTAGCCACCCAAGAAAGCAGAACTCTTGAAACAGGCATTGTCTCAAAAGGAACTTTTATTAGGGATTAGTGACAGTAGGGAAGTCAAGGTGAGGTCTGCAGAAAAGCCTGCTTAAATGGTATAGTTAACCTAGCAATCTTCCTCCTCCCACCAAAGTCATAGTGTCCATTTGAAATCCAGCCAATCCACAGGTGGTACAATGTTTGGGTAACTGACACAGTTGGTCTGCATCTCAAGGTCTTCTCCAGGTCTTCTCCAGTTTCGTTTCTCCATAGTTGTCTCCCTGATAAGAGACACAGTCTTTTCTCAAGTTGATAGAGGCAGGAGAGGAAAAGCAGAAAGCGAAAGTTATCCCAAGCAAAAGCAAACTCCCCTCCCCCAGCACAATGGCAGGCCCCAAACAAGAGCACATACATAGGGAAAACAATAAGTATTTGAGGACCTGACAGGGTCTAATATCTGGAATTTACTTTGTGCCTTTCATAATTTTCTTTTAAAATATAAATGTCCTGTGGAATGTCCAGTAATCCTGATCTTGTACTATAGATTAAAATGTAGACTCATATCTCCTCTAGGTAAGTAAATAGATATTTAAAGGCAGATGTGACATCTAACCCCTTTCTAATAATGATGTCAAAATACAATGTAACTGAATATTATCTGCTTAACCAAGTTAATCTGTAAGTGCAAAACAAAATAATCCTTTATCACCTTCAAGAAAAACAAACACTTAGAATATAACTTTTCACAGACTACAGTTTACTTCAAGACACACCAGATTATGGTACAAATATGTCTTTCTCCAGCTGCATTATTTCCATCTGCAGAAAGGTTGAATCACTCAAACCTAAAACTCCTTTATAGATCAAGAACTGGTTCCTTAATTTTTCCAATTTGTATCTCTGTCCAAATGTCTAATTTCTAGCTTTGTAAATTGATTTTAATTGATGATAACAAAGAGATCATGTTTCATGTACTATATATTAATTACAGCCACAGATTTCAGAGGATTGCTCTTGTTCTGTTCTTCCAATTTTTGCATTCAGTCAAGATCTTGAAAAATGATAAAAACGTTAAGTTTTTAAGGTCATTACTACTTGCAGCAAAAAATGACAAAAAAAAGAGACCAGGAGAGAAAATCCATTAAATGCTTGACTCCAATTCATATTCAGTTGAATTGCCCTGTTTTGTATCTAATATTTGTGCCAAACAAAAGTTCAACTACTCCCACATTTAAAAGGCTTATAAGGCAGCATCCGGCAAGTGAGGGGAGCAACCTCTTCAGTTGCCTCTGGATTTAACTCAGTTTACCTCAACAGGCAAGTATAGCTTTGCATTTTCAGCTCCTTAAAGGACTTTCTTAACCTTAGGAAATTTAAGATGGGTGGACTTCAATACCGGTAGTAGGTTGACTCAGGCCTTCCATCCTTCTGAGATCGGTAAAATGGGGACCCAGGTTGTTGGGGGCAATATGCTGACTCTTTAAACTGCTTAGAGATTGTTGTAAAGCACTATGAAGCAGTATGTAAGTCTAAGTACTATTGCTAATTCCCAGAACCATCTAGCAGGGAGCTGAAGTTGACCCATCTTCTAACTCAGGGGTTTTCAAACTTGGCCCTTTTATGACTTGTGTGCCTGGCTGAGGAATTCTGGGAGTTGAAGCCCACAAGTCATAAAAGGGCCAAGTTTGAAGACCCCTGTTCTAATTGCTGGAGTTGAGAAATACCCCCTTAAAGGAATGAACAAATACAAGCCATGACAACTAAGAGTTAAAGAGATGGGCAAGGAGTGGGGAACCCAGAGACATTGGGCCAGTTATTCCCCCCACAGGAGAATAAACCTTTCCTTCCTGGATTCAAAGAAAAAAACCAATATCTCTAAACGCAGAAAAGCAAGAAGACGGAGAACTACGTCGCGCGCAAGACATCAACCCAACTGCGCAAGCGCAGTTATCTCCTTTTGTGCGCAGACTCACTATCTCCATCCCGCCGGCCGAGGCCGAGGAGCGGGGGTGTGTCGCAGCGCCTGAAATAAGGCGGCGGTTGCAGCAACTCCCACGACGCCCCTCAGTCCCTTCCCTACCTTATCGCAGTAGAGCCCGACGAGCTGCTTCATCCGCCAGTGCGGGGCGGTGAAAACATCCACCTCCTCCGGGAAGGGAGCCATCTTCTCTCCCCCATAGACAGCGACGTCCACTCCCTCAGCCGCACTCCAGCGATGAGCATTGGCGGCCTACTATGCGCACGCGTCCCGGGCGGAGGCGGCGCAAGCGCCGACACCCCCAGTCCTCCATCACGTGAAGGGAGGAGAGCGCCTTTTACCTAGAGAGGCATTTCCGGGCCGGGAGGCGGCCATTTTTAAATGCCTTGTAAAGACCAGGCATTTTGTAGAACTAGGAAGCGTGTAATTTGAGTGTCTTGTATTGCGTGACATCCTAATACGCTTCAGCCAGGTGGCAAGTTTACAGGAGATCTAACATGGCCGTCTGGCAGACAGGAACCCTAAATTATGAATGGACTGGTTTGGGGGTCTGTCCCATGTCCCGCATAAAGCACAGTCTTTTCCAACCTTGGCAACTATTAAGATGTATAGACTTCAACTTCCAGTGATTTTCCTCCGTTTTTAAAATCTCCATTTTGGGTCTGCATGTTGGGTCTCTAACTGAAATAAAGTAATTGATGGATTGCTATAATAGATTGATATTCCCCCCTTCCCTCCATTTTTGATTTAAGGAATGCTATAAGTTTCTGTTTTGACCTCAGTGTTAGTCTCTATGCCAGGGGTAGGCAACCTTGACTCTTTTATGACTCGTGGACTTCAACTCCGAAAATTCTTGAGCCAGCATGGCTGGCTCAGGAATTCTAGGAGTTGATGTCCACCAGTCATAAAAGAGCCAAGGTTGCCTACCCCTGCTCTATGCCAAGACATCTTCAGACTGTTTTCCACATAGCTTTTATTATATATTAAGTACTAATCTTAATGCATTATGATACCAACGAACCTCCAACTGTTTTGGAGGGAAGTTGAAAAATTCAGGTTTAGGTGGGAACGTTGTGATTGGAAAGTATAAATTGCAAGCATTTTGCCGATTTTAGGCAGTTCTGTTTTGACTCAATAAACACTGTTGTACTAGCTCGGGTAGGCAACCATGGCTCTTTTATGACTCGTGGACTTCAACTCCCAGAATTCCTGAGCCAGCCTCAGGAATTCTGGGAGTTGAAGTCCATGAATCATAAAAGAGCCAAGATTGCCTACCCCTGTACTAGCTGGTCTGGTTATTGCCTATGAAACCCACTACATAATAGTGGCAATAAGGATGAGTTCTGCAGAGGAGAGAGCTGTTGCTAGCCAAGAGATTGAAGTCACTGGGTGATAGGCTGGGTAAAGAGCTCCGGCAAACCTAGTTCTCACCCCTGCCTACCAGTAAGCCACACCGGAGGCATGCTGAAGTCACTGAGTGTCAGACCAGATACAGAGCCCTGGTGGGGCCACATCTCCACCCTGCCTGCCAGTAAGACACACTGGAGGCACAGAAATCCTGAGGGATCCGCCCCCAGGATCAAAAGGCAACACAGCTCTTTCCATAGCAGAGAAGGTAGTAAGCAGGACCTCACAGAACTCCTGGAATTGCCAAACTCGGAAGACTCAACGAGTTTGACATCACCCACCCAGAGCAGTGGAGCTCGTATGTCTCCAGAGTAGACAATTACCTATGGGCGAACCAGGTCAGAGACAATAGCCTGAAGGCGATGACTCTACTCTGTGTATGTGGGCAAGCAATGTTTGACATCGCAGAAAATCTGGTAGCACCGGCCTGCATTGTGACATATGCAGACCTGAAGAGAAGATTGAAAGAACATTTTGAGCCAAAACTCTCCATAATAGCATGGCGCCATGCTTTTGAGCAACAAGAGCAGAGGTCTGGAGAATCGGCAGCTGAGTTCGTGGCCGCACTTCGTCAAGCTTCACGCCATTGTTTCCAGATTTGGAAGACCACTTCAGAGACAAACTTGTTTGTGGTCTGCTGAATAGACAGCTACAACAGCACCTATTCGCCATGGAAAAACTGACCTTCCAAGACGCTTTGAAGGTAGTCATGGCAGATAAGGCTGCCATAGGAGCAATGAAGGCTCTCCTATGAGCTCTGCCATAAGAGCAATGAAGGCCAACAAAAACACAGACTAGCTCCACGGCGATCCACCACGAGACAACAGATGGACTGGGGGAGACCGATGAAGATGATGAGATCGATCGGTTGCAGAGAGAGCCACCCAGACAGTAATGCTCAACAGAGCAAACAATGGCTTCACAGAACTGCGCTAACTGTGGGGGACAACATAACAGGGCAAAGTGTAAATTCTGCACAGCTGTTTGCCGCACCTGTGGGAAGCAAGGGCACATCGCCAGAGTCTGTAGAGGTCGCCAACGAGAAACGCAAACTACGGCTCCACAGCAGAAAAGTAAATGAGCCCCAGGGCAAAACAAGGTTGGATACTGCTCAGGGAGGTGAAGTATCCAATGAACAAGAGCCAAATGCCCCCTCAAGGAGAAATTAAAACTCCAGATTAAACTTCAAGGAGTCCCATACTCCATGGAGCTAGACACTAGGTCAGCCCTATCACTCATCTCATACAAGACTTTTGATTACATTTGCAGACAAGGCAAAAGGTGAGTTCCGCTCAAGCCATCAAGCCTCATACTAACGGACTTCCAGAATTGCCAAATTCCAATCCTTCCTAAACGCCACATGATATGGCACGCAGCTTCTGCTTTCTTTCACCCCACTTCCAATGGTCAGGCTGAGCGGATGGTGAGGTCCACCAAGGAATTGCTCAAGCGGATAACAATGGGAGATTGGAATCACAATCTGGCAAAAAAATTTCTGTGCCAGCACATGACCTCTAGCACCGCAACAAGTCGCAGCCCTACAGAACTAAGGTGGAGCTGCCAGCTCACAATGAAGCTCGACCGACTCCACCCTGACAGGACAGCAGCAGAAACAGCTCATCCCAAGCCTCCCAGGAATCTACAGCTGGGAGAATTGGTATGGACTAGAAACTATGGGCAGGGGGCACCCTGGGTTGCCGCTAGAATGACTAAGGTATTGGGGCCATTGTCTTACAAGGTGGCGCTGGAAAATGGTTGCATGGTCAGACGCCACATTGATCAGTTACGGTGTCTGCAGGCTGGTCCAATCCTGGAAAAGGAGTCCGGGAGGAATTAGGACACACCAGGTGACTATGTTTGTCTGAAATTGCCCACACCTGCCCGAGCCGCCTCCGCTGAAACAGAGGCACCACAGATGGTGGAACCACCTCTCCCATCAGATGACCTAAATGGCCATCACGCCAAGGCTCAACCAGGGACGGACGATCAAACAGTCAACCAGGACTCCCAATTGACATTACGGTGGTCCACCCCAATCCGCAGGCCCCCAGCCTACCTTGAGGACTATGCACTGTAATCAAGTAAGATAACAACTAGCCTAAGGGGGAGGGGTGTTATGTATTAAGTACTAATCTTAATGCATTATGATACTAACGAACCTCCAATTGTTTTGGAGGAAAGTTCAAAAATTCAAGTTTAGGTGGAAGCGAGCTAACGTTGTGATTGGCTGATGTCCTAGAGGCAGAAAGTGTAAATTGCAAGCATTTTGCCAGTTTTAGGCAGCTCTGTTTTGGATCAATAAACACTATTGTACTACACCGGTCTGGTTATTTCCTATGAAACCCACTACACAATAGCTTTAATTCCAAAAGAATCAGAATCAGAGCTGAAAGGGATCTCAACCAATCTATTCATTTCTTTTTTTGGGTACTGCCATTCTGTTGGGAGGGGGAAGGTTTTGCTCTTTGCGAAGGGGGAAAGCTCTGTTGGCTCTTCTTTTCATCTTTGATGCATCTCTCTGGGTGTGAAAGGAAGGAGGAATGTGCCTGGGGCCATCTGTCTTATCTCTGCTTAGCTGGGAAGAGACCAGGAAGAAAACAATATGCGGTTTATCACTCCAGTTTTCTTAACAACTTTGCACCTGTGGATTGGCTGAAATCAGACTGGACAGTTGGGCACTGGGAAGGGGTTTGAAAGGAGACTTTTAATGTACCATTTTGCGCAGGAATTATTCAGATCTTGCCTTGCTATTCTTCTATTATTATCTCTTAATAAAAATTCCTTTTGAAACAATGCCAGTTTCAGGAGATCTGCTTTCTTGGGAGTGCTAGCTAAGGCAGGACCTTACAAGGCCTGTGCTCAAGCAGGAGATCCTATACCATTTCAGATAAGTGGCTGTTCAGTCTCTTAAAAACCTCCAGTAATGAAGCACACACAACATCTGAAGGCAAGCTGTTCTACTGCTTAATTGTTCTCGCTGTTAGGAAGATTCTCCTTAATTCCAGGTAAGTAGAATAGAATAGAATAGAATAGAATAGAATAGAATAGAATAGAATAGAATAGAATCTTCTAGTCCAGCCCCTTGCTCAAGCAGGAGAACCTATACCATCTCAGGTGATTATCCAGTCTCTTCTTGAAAATTTCCAGTGATGGAGCGCCCATGATTTCTGGGGGATAAGCTGTTCCACTAGTTGATTGTCCTCACAATCAACAAAAATTTCTCCTTTAAAATTTTTTTTTTTAGTAATTTTCTATTTTTACAATCAAGTGCTTAATAGACAACGTAATGACTGGGTCCATTAGTAATTCCATGGTACATGTAAGCTTCTTCAAACTAAATCCAATATTACACCATCCAATACATCCTCTCTTCTTCCAGTAATAGACATTTTTTTCATACTAAGTCAATACAATTCTGATTGTTGTTAATAAATATACAGTTGAATATCAGCATTTGTTATAGTTTTCTAATAGTATCAATAATATCAGTTTAGAATAGTGGTTCTCAACCTTTTTAATGCCGCAACCCCAACCAGTCGTAGATCGAGGACTACCCTGCCCGGGAGCGCCACGCATGCGTGGTACCATCCCCTGCGCCGGCCGAGGTGTAGCTGGCAAGCGGCAGAGACGGTGCAGGGTGACCACCAGCTGGGCCACCAGCTTGCCCAACCCAAGGGAGGTAAGGCACCCGCCGGGCCCCATGCACGCCAGCAACTCTCCCTGCACCCGCCGGCCTCCCACCTCCCACCCCTGGCCCTCTTTTACTTACATTTTTAGTAGTTGCTCAGCAGGGAGGAGTGGAAACTTCCAGACAGCTCACCTTCGCTACAGACAACTTGCAGCACCGTTTGCAG